GAGGCGGTGTATATTATATATATTATTATTGTATATATATACATAACAATAACGTGTGCACGATGCCGCCACGTATATATATATTATATATTTAGCTAAGACTCGACGGATATCGCGTTTACCTACCCACACCAGGTATAATATATATATCTTCTATATTATATATTACGTGCATTTCGTTGTTAATTAAACGGCTTCGAAACCGCACGGCCGTAGCAACTTATACATTATATACTCGCGCGGGCTGTTATATTTCCTAGTATCGGCACCCTCCCCCCTCCCTTCAACAACAACTCGAACACCGTACCCACTGCTATATGTATATAATTTATTATGATTCAAATTCTATAGAATAATAATAATATAACTACCGATATGTGAGGGATATACGCCGTTTGACGTGTTTATTCTCAATCGTCTGTTCATGTCAATAATACTGTGTGCATATATATACGAGTAGCATCCAATATAGGCAGTCATAAAGTATATTATCATGTCTCGATATTTTTACGTTAAGTCCACTATACGGAAAGAGCTTCTATCGGATCATTAATTTTTCTCTTGTTAATTTAGCTTTTTCGGTGCGTGGGTGATGATGTGACTGCGTTGATCAGTGGCCGAAAAACATTCGAAAACTCCGACACCCCGCTCGGGAAAACCTGCACCAATAGCCCCGGAGTTAATAATCGTCTGCGTGCGGTCGTGTATATCATTACCGCAATAGGCGTGTACGAAAATAATGGAAAATAAAACGATTTATTATTTTTGCGGGCCGAGGGACGCGTATTATTTATATTGTACAATGTGTACGCAAACTGATTCGATTCGGTGGTAGTTTTGTGTGCGTCTGCCGGAGACCGCACGAAAAAGGACGCAAGCGACGTATAATATTATGTGCAACAGTGCAATGTGTGTGTGTGTATACATTAGCCGACCGCGCCGCGGGACGTCCACGCCAAATATTTTGGCAGTTTTTGCCGCCGTAGACGAAAATAAAAACTTTCTCTTTCCTTTCTTCGCCAGTAAATTCGTTTCACACAGTCCATTTCGTCGTGGTGGCCGGTACACCGCCGACCCGTTCTCTCCACCGAGCACGACAACCCGGACGGACACTAATATTTTGTCAGAAATTCAGCACGAATCGCGACAAACACGAATAACTCGTACAATATACCAGAATGTGATATATGAAAGAGTCCATGCCCCAGCAAACAACAAGTCATAATAAACCTTTGTATATTTTAATAATATTATATAATATCGTATAATAGGTGTAACGACTTCGACGAAAATAAGCATGCACCGGCTGCGTATAGGTACATGTTATATCAAATGCCACGTTTTCACTTTCTCCGGTCGCCGTCCTTTTATTCCCACTCTCACCCCACATTTCACAATGATGTGCGCATTCGGGGGATGACGCGATTCCTTCACGTGGCTCGGCTGTTTACATGTAGGTATCGTGTATTCGTGTGTGTGTGTATGTGTGGGTGGGTATAATATATGTAGCATCGTATCATAATATTATATTCAGCTGCAGCTCTGCGGGTATATTGATTACACTTTTGTTTTTCATTGTAAAATGTCAGGTGACTTTAAATAAACACAGCGTCGTATAATATGTGGTATAAAAACCGCAATAGAACATACCACATACAATACAATATATAACATATTATATAATAGGTATACTGAGTGCTGTCTGTGGAAATAGAGTACACGTAAAAAAGTCGTTGCTCATACACAAAATAGAAAAGTTAAAAAATTATAAGTCATGTAGGAGTTTTTGATCCAACAGTCTAGTTTTATGTATCGAATACAGAATTCAAAATTATTTTTAAGGTGCTGAATTAAGTTGTAGTGTGTATCCTGTTTTTAGGGACCTACGGTAATATATATATATATAAAGTATACTATGTTTATTTAAAACGGTATTTTGCGTTTTAACTGCTACTGTGTATGGCCTCGTAAAGAGTATAACAACTGTATGGAAATAAAAAAAACTAAGCTCCGAAAACGATGACTGAAAATAATTATAGATGATTTAGAAATATAATTATACACTTTTCATCATAGTACCTATTACACCTAGCATAACTTATATTTTCACCGTCGCTCGAATGCGTTTAAATAAAACTTTAAACAGTATTTAAACTAGTTTAAACGGACTCCGTTCTACGCATAATATAGATATACTTATAATAATAATGGAAGAAAACGCTGTTGAAATCTGCGTGACTGCGTACCAACGAACAAAAAGTCCGCACGCGCGGTTAGGCTCCTGTGCGAAGTTTTTGTAAAATTTATCGTACCGTATACGTTGCAATTAAGAACCGTGTAAACAACATAATAATAATATAGTACATTAAATAATATTTGTGTATACGCGTATCTATGTGTGTGTGAGTGTGTACATAATAATGCCCAGTTATATATTTTCACAACGAGCGTATATTATGTATTGTAGGGTAGGATTGTCGGTATAAGTATCACATTAACGATCTGCAGCGCTAGTTTACGGGCGTATAACACAAAACGGAGTTTATTTTGTATTGTAGTGCGACGAATAAATCTACCTCCGTTCGTTCGTTAGTCGCGCACGTTGTATATTATTGTAATAGGTAGGGGTGGAGGTATTCATAGGTACGCGAAATGGCGCGACGTTGTTAATACGGTTTTAGGCGAATAAGTTCAAAACGTGCGGGTCAACGCATGCGATGGCGTGGATTACAAGTGCGGGACCGGAACTGGATGCGCGGAGGGGTTCCGAAAGAATATCATTACCCGCGGATGCCCTTTTGTGTTATACGAGACCCGGCACTGCAGAGGTAACGGCRGCGTCCTTGTATATGTCGGGCGAAAAAACAAATGTAAAATAAGCAATAATAATAATAATAACATCGCACAAAGGCGCACCGAATTAAAATATTAACATTATAATATTTTCATTAATTATCCCGTACCGCGTGAAAATACGAGCGGCGGGAAACGCCTGTGCGTACCCTCAATGACCGGAAAAAGTGCACAATGCACTTCATTTCGGCGGCGGTGCATAATCTGCAGCAGCAGTGGAAAATTGTCTGTGTCCACGGAATATTTGAAAATTAAATTCCACACGTCGGAGTGGCTACGATGAAGGTATAATAATGGGCGAGAACACGAGTTTTCACCATGCTCGTATATAAGTAAAAGATTTTCGGCCATGTTCCTTGGCGGCGACCTATGCGAACGGCCATCCACCTCGGTCGTGTGCACCTCTCTCTACCACTCTCTCACACACTCGGTCTCTCTCTCTCTATCTTACCTGTGCGTAAGCATACGCACGATTCGTGTGTATTATATATTATTATTATAATGATTCACGGCCGACCGTTGGTTGATATACGACCGCGCCCGGCCACCGGACACCAAATATAAATTAAGTAATTATTCAAATTCCTCGACGGAATTCTTGTTTGTACACACACGCGCGGGCGCGAGCGCTCAGACCCGACTCTCCTCCCTTTCGCCACCGCCAATGTCTCGTACTTATCTGTAGCACCGAAGTCCTCCTCCTTCTCCTCGTTTACCTGTTTCTCGTAACTCTCGCCACACGCCACTGAAACGATAATATATACTTGCACGCACATTACAATAATAATATACGATATATTCTATATATATAAGTCATATCCCTATCCGCCGGCCGCAAATCATTCTTTAGTAATGTGTCAACGCAAAACAAATAGACATATATTATTATGGGCTTTGGCGTAATACGTTTTGGCCGTTTTAATATTCAGAATATAATATGTTGTATATATTTTTTTCAAATATTCGGTGGTCCACGCACTGCTATTACATGCGGCGCACTGTCACGTATAACGTTTAATGTTTATATTAAGTGCCGCTTTTCTCTCCGTTGAATGCTATTTTGAATTTTTACACGTCTAAAAAAGTATAATATTATGTACTGTCGAAAAAATATGCAATACGATGTTTAATCGTGGCACTCCGCACCACTAGCATTTCGATTTAGAAATAGTGATAACTCTGCGTATATGTATAATACACCTAAATCATAATTACAATAATATAATCGTAATTTATTGAGCAGCGCTATAAGCTGACCATCGAGTATAGATAGTATTAGAGGAATAATACGATAACTATGTCATAGGGTACTATCATGACGGTGGTGAGAAACGCATCGAAAACGGAATGAGCACAGCGAAAACAGACGAGTATGGCATTTCTTTTACGCAGAGTTACCATTGATTAAATATATTAAATTATTTAATCAATGGAGTTACCTTCGCCGTTTTTTTTTCGATAAATTCATACACTAAATAAAATCAAGTAGCCAAGACTAGATATTATTACGATAACGAAGACAAAACTACGCATATTTTTTATCCAATGCAAAACACTCGTACGATAGAACTCATGAACAACCCGAAGTTGATTTGTAATGTTTGATCACAGACTATCGACAATTTCAATGCCCGATATAACCTAATAATAATAATAATAATGATTAATAATAATACTCGAATAGAACAACTGTAAACCATCAATAAACCTTCTGGAACTGCACTATAGCTACAGCAGTACGCATTTACGATATTTCGATGTGCGCAGGTGAATCAAGAATAATATTGTTTCAACGCCTCCGGCTAAGGTACAATATTATTATTATAGGCGGAGGAGTCTATAGTACGTCCGTCTCAGGCGTAATAATATAATATAGTATACAGCGGGAAAGCGTGCGGGCGTTCATATACCTATTTATATATATGCCTCAGCAACAAGAACCCTTTATTATTGTCGTTTGGCGTACCTATAACTGTATGTATACATATTATATATGTGTGTGCGCGCGGTTTATTGGAAGGCACAGCTCGCGCATTCGGGGTTAGAGACGTATAATTTACTTACCATAACACGATTTAAATGTACATGTGTGGCTTATTGCAGGCGGGCGTATATTTTATAGATATTATACGTGAAAAATAACGCACCTCTTCAGACAAAAGCCACCATTCGGTTTGAGTTGTTCGACGGATTCGGTTTGTGATCGTTGCTGCGGCGATTAATATACACGCGGACCTCTCGCGACTTTAACTCCGCACACTGCACTGCAGCAGCAGCCGACGGAAACACTGCGACGACGCTACCGGTTAGATCGAGGGTAGCAGTCACCGCTTTGATGATGATAATAATAATAAAAAAATAATATAATAAAACATTTTTACGCGCGTGTTTGTGTGCATCGGACAAAAGACTTTTGTCACGGACGACGATGATGACGACGAGAGCGTATAAGGCATCTGCACAAAAATGGCGTCGTATATATTATGTAATATTGTTATTATTATAAATATTTTTTTTTGTATACGGCATATTATACGAATGGTTTGCTGCAGTACGCGAGTGAGTGTGCAGTTATATACAACAGTTCTCACCTAGAAAAAGACGGACGAGGACGGCGGCGGCGATGGCGTGGTGATGGACGATGGTCTTATAGTATAGATTGTGCCCTACACGTATAACATTCACATGCACGGCATGTGCATCGAAAGGGTAAGTCATTTAAATTGTACCGTTGGAGCGTTTTCTGCTGGATGGGGTAAGACATTTTCGAGGGTGAAAACACTTTCGATATCTTCGCCTATTGACTATAATATAGTCGAAACCCCGTAGCGAGTAGGTATATCTGACAAAAATCTGAAAGGGACACGTTTTCGATCTCATCCGATAACCTTTGTCCTTTACGCCACTGAAGGATATAATATCGAAAATCGTATCATAATAAAGTAAATCACTTATCGAAGAGTTTAGCCGATAATCTAAACAACCACGTCGTCTGTCGCGATCGTATATTATATGTTTCATAAAGCGCATAATAATATAATATATATATACCTATAGGTTTATTTAATATTATATTTTTATTTTATAGATTAATTGTTATATTTARTCGTCCAACCAATAGAATACGCAGCGAAAGTGTGATYAGTATATATAACAATCGAATCATTAACATCATATTTTATATCGCTTATTTTGTGCAGAACGTGAGATTTCGGGTTCAAAACAGTATATTATCCTCCGGTTTATCGGGGTGTATAAAAMTAATGAACCTCGTRTAATTTACAAAGGGTCATCCGTTTTTGTAAAGTATTGGCCAAATAAACTGCAAAATGCAATCTATAAACTTCAATCGCATTCATTATATTCTTAATTCGGTTTTGWATTTCGACGATTTGGCTTTCGCACGGATAGCGAATTCCACTGGCGTATAAAACATTATATAAATCGGAAAATGCGACCGACGTTATCAACTTTTTCTTTTTTTATTCTCTTTTTCTTTCGTCCACTCTTCGTTCTATATTTAACGACACTTTAAGCTACTGCACTGTCGTCTGTCACGAAACAGCAGAAAACGAACCACTCTCGACGTGCTCGGAAATCGATAAGCCTTCTACTCCGACATAAAATATAATACGGGTGGGCTGGCGGATGTGAAGAGAGGTCAACTTGTATGTATATGTGTGTGTTTGCGTATAATGAACGTACGCTGACGACAGATTTATAGGAGTGTGGAGAACCACGTGCTGGTGCGTGAGTATACTAACGAAAAAAAACGCGCTTGCGGTACACAACTATATACATCGTCGTCACGAAACTTTTTCGCTTCGACCGGACGGTTAAGAAACGGAAACGCGGCTGACGACATATTTAAAATGTATCCGAACCGATAAATAAACKATTCAGATTGGCGAAAATAAACGAGATATAATCCTGTCATCGTCGAACGCCATCGCGCAATCCCTTATGTTTTCGATACATAATAATTATTATATATACGTATAATCGTTATAAAGACATTATTTTTAGACGAGGACTGGCCGAACACACACGGTCGTGGGTGTACTGCTGTGTACACTTACACAAGATAAAACTTCGTGATGACGTGATGGTTTTTAACCGACCTTATAATTCGATGAAAATTAAAAAACATTGCACCGAGACGTCTAAACATAATATTATTTATGTTCTTAAAGGACGTGACGAAAACTGATTACATTTTATATACCGAATTCATCTCGAGAAGTCTCGTCGAAGGCCGGTTTTCGGGCGAAGAGGTATAAACATAACAACATGCACCTAGTCTCGACTCTCTGTGTATACACTTGGCACAAAACGTATACATGCATAGTGTATGTGTGTGTGTGTGTACACAAAGAGCGTATACGTCCGCGTTGGTGGCGGGTGGATGATTCGCGTGTGAGGCGGGTCCGGGGGGCCGTGATCAATAAAAATGCCGGAACACGAGGCATACATAAAGGTGCGCGTCCTACACTGCACCAACACATACACAGTCGTACACTTCAGCACACACACACACACACACACACTTGCGTGCTCGCGATGCCGCGCCCGGGCGGTGGTGTATTGTCGAGGGGCCGGCGCAACGCTCGCGTATACATCATCCCCCGGCAGCCCCGGCCAAACCCACCCTTCCGCGCGCCGAGACTCAGGCCCGCGTTCCCCGCTCCACCATCCGTGACAAGATTGATCACCGGCAATCGTCTTCGACCCTTCCCGCCACCGCAGACCGAGCATTATTTCCACCCTGCCATCACGGCTGCCCGTAAAATATATATATTATATATGTATGTGTGTGGGTGTGTGTGTGTGTGCATTATTCTCTCGCTACAGCTTCCTTGAGGGTTTTTTTTTCGTTTTTTTTTCGCTCAGAGCCTAATGGATTTTATATTTAGAAAAATCCGAAGTCTTAAAAACGACGATTCACCCGAAAACCGCTCACCGCCATAATCGTGTCATAATATTTTAATGGATATAATATTATTATAAAATATAAGATGCGCGAGGCACGGGCCAACGGGAAAAGTCATTTTTTTTCTGCACGACACAACAACGTTGTTATTATTATTATTATTATATATATATATATATATATATGTTACGGTGAAAGATGTAAACGTGGTGAAAGACGTCATTCCCCGGTAAATGACATCATTTACCTAAAAATTGGTAAATGTTGTAAATGCAGACATTCCCCGGTTATTGTCGTCAATCACCAGTTTAGTTAGAGAATGATGTTCAATACTTTTATGTCGGTATGAACGATCAGCGATAAGCGTGTAGGTGCCAAATAAGCTTCGTTAGTTAAAAATATCATGACGGAAGTAGATAGATAAACGAAAATCCCAACTAGCAATAACGTCGATAACCCGAGTAATAATATGAGATAATCTATTAGTTTATTAGTTAGTATCTACGGGAATATTATAGCGAATTGTATACGAATGAGTGTGTGTTTTATAATATTATTTGTAAAAATTTGTGTCACCAGTGAACAAAGTGTAATAAAAATTAGATTAAATTATAGTGTTATAGTTTTATTTAATATTAATATTAAAGTATGGAGAACAAATTTAAAGCAGCAATTGACAAAATTGTCAGCAGTAAAAAGAGAGATGACAATATATTTTATTTTAGTTCTGAAGAATATAACAACAAGATCCAAAAAATAAAAGAATTAAAAATTGGAACACTAAAAAAAACGGTAACGAATAATAGACTTATACGTAAATATGATGTTGTGTCAATTGGGGGAAAAGAAAAATTGATTAARCCTATAGTTGATAATGAATCTGACGTTTTATATTACGTCACAGTAGACGAGTTGTTTGAAGTCATTCACACCGCACATTTGGCAGTAGGTCATGGTGGTAGAAATAGGATGATGGCTGTGTTAAAAACAAAATATTGTAATGTGACAACGGAGGCAGTTATGGCATATTTAAGTTTATGCAGTAATTGTCAAGTAAAACAATCAAATCCGAAAAGAGGGCTTGTGACAAAACCAATTTTACATTCCGCATTTAATTCAAGGGCGCAAATTGATTTGATTGACATGCAATCTCAAAATTATAATAATTATCGCTATATAATGAATTATCAAGATCATTTAACAAAATTTGTTATTTTAAAACCTCTGAAGACAAAAAGGGCAGAAGAAATCGCTTTAAATCTGATAGATATTTATACAATATTTGGTGCACCCGCTATACTCCACTCGGATAATGGTCGTGAGTTTGTAAATTCTATTATAACAAATTTAAATGAAATGTGGGGAGACATCAAAATTGTGCATGGCAAGCCTCGTCATAGCCAGACCCAAGGATCAATTGAACGCGCGAATAGGGACGTTGAAGAAATTTTGGCTTCTTGGATGACTGATAATAAATCAAAAGACTGGCCAATGGCATTAAAATTTGTGCAATTCCAAAAAAATCGGGCTTTGAACTCAGGTAAGCTATTAACTAAAAACAATTTTAGATTCTGAACGATGTGATGAATGTATTGATTTTACAATGATATGTTTTTTTTTTTTTTTTTGTGTCTGAAATACCGTAACGATAACGATTTATCCTCAAACGATTTTAAATATTTGTTATTATTCAAAAAGTATAAATCGTAGATACTTGAAAATTTAACCAGTTATTTAGATTGGTATTTTCTTTACGTGATTTAATTTTCAAAATATTTTGAATTTTTTTGAGCTATTTATTTATAGACAACTGAAATTTCGTCAAAACCATGAATATTTGCAAATTATTTTGTAGGTATAATTCATACAAATTTTTGTATAAGTAGCTAAGAGTTGAAAATTTAATACGAGATTTTCCATAAGTTAAGCTTATAATAATTAAAAAAAAACTTAAATTTTGATGTATTCAGGCCATTAAAACATAAATCACCTTTTTCACCAACCACTGAAAATTATATCCTAGGCTGACAAATCATCTTTGTTCAGAATCGTTTTTCGTATACAATGATAATTATCATTGGATTCAAATTTAACCCTCCTATAATATATAATAGTGATCCACACGGCACCTAATGTACAGCAGAGCGGTACCCACTTACCCACTTTTTTTTTAATAATTTTAATTTTAATTAATTAATTTTTTTTTAATTTAAACATTTTTATAATAGGTATTGGAAGATCGCCTTACGAAGCGATGTTTGGTTGTACAGCGAGAACAGGGTTAGCTTCAGCAGGGATACCTTACGATGAAATAGAAAAACTTAAATCAGAAGAGGATATTGAAAAACTAT